TAAACGGCTCGCCTGATGCCTCGTCCATTGAAGTGCCTGGGGTCTGCTGCAGCAAATCAGCGTAAATAGCTCGTGCCTTCTCACAGATTATAGCCTTCGTCACGGTATCTCCTGCGAGCTTCTTCTCGTTAACCACACCATTAGCAGCTTCTTCATATTTTCATGGATAGTTGTCCGCTGTTTAGAAATTATTTTAACGCCCTTGGCTGGAGTTGTAGCCTGTATCGACTCCTTCTGCTTCAGTATGGTGCAGATCGTAGAAGTGCTACGCTTGTACTGCTTCACCAAGTCGATTACACGCACACCTTGGTCATGTTTTTCGATAATTTCTTTCTTTAATTCAATGCACATCATCCGCTTCTTCTCAGCACTGTCCTTCGCACTTAGTTTCTTCAGATCCATGGTTGAAAAAACGAAGTTTTGCAAAATAACTGCAAGCACAAATGCGAGCACAACACTGATGCTTCAACTAAGAGCTAACCGTTTAAAGTGAACGAGTGAGACACGTGATGCTGGGCTGATGTTGTGTTCACTGTGACGTTCGCTGCGCCAACTAGCGGTGGGGTATCTGAAGCTGGCTTGTAACCCAAATTTTAGCTCGCAACTCAAAGCAAAAAATCGGCAGAGAGACGGCTCGTATCTCGAAAAACTCGTTAGTCGGGACACTCGTAAGTCAAGGCCCCACTGTATAGGGTTCTTGGTTGCCTTTTTTTTTTTTTTTTTTTTTTTAGCTCTGAATATATCAGCCCACTGCCTTCTGACCTTCAGAGTTTCTAATGAGAAAGCTGTTGATAATCTTATTGAGGATCTTTTGTCTGCAAGTTACTTCTTCCTTGCTGCTTTCAAAATTGTCTTTGTATTCCAAGTTTGACTTAATGTATCTTTGTGTGAATCTCTTTGAGTTCATCCTACCTTGAGTTTGTTGAGCTTCTTGGATGTTTATATTCAGGTCTATTATCAGATTTGGAAATGTTTTGCCCATTATTTCTTCATATTTTTTTCTCTGCTCTTTGATCTCTCTCTTCTCCTGGGACTCACACTATGTGTATGTTGGTCTGCTTAATAGTGGCCCACAGGCCTATTAAATGCTGGTCGCTTTTCTTTAGTGTTTTCTTTCTGTTCTCAGACATAATTTTTATTATTTTAAATCCACCGATTCTTTCTTCTGCCTAATCAAATCTATCTTTGAGTTGCTCTAGTGAATTTTTCATTTCAATTATTGTACTTTTCAGCTCCAGAATTTCCTTTTGACTTCTCTTTATGTTTTCTTTCATAGATTTTTGTTTTCATTTTGTTCATACATCATTTTCTTGTCTTTGTTCACCTTATCTTTTAAGTTCTTAGAACATCTTTAAGGGTTGCAGGTTCGAGTCCCAGTCAAGGGCACATACCTGGATTATCAGTTCACTCTCCAGCCTATGTAGGAATGTGTGTAGGAAGCAAACAGTTGATGTATCTCACATTGATGCCTCTCTGCCCCCCGCCCCCTCTTCCTCCCTTCTTCCCTTTCACTCTCTCTAAAAATCAATGGAAAAAATATCCTCAGTATGAGGATTAACAACAAATAGCTGAGTGCTTGATTCAATGTAGTTTTTCTTGCTTTACTTTTTATTATGAAAATTTTCCAAAATACTCAAATGTAGAGAGAGTAGAATAGTGAACTCCCTTGTATACTTATCACCAACTACAGTAATCATCAACTGGTATATTCTTTTATATAATCTATAGCCCCTCCCACTTCTAACCTCTCATGGTTTTATTTTGAAGTAAATGTAACACTTTATATCATGTTTCTTTGTAAATATTTCAAAATCTTATAGTCTTTTTATATGACTAGAATCAAAAGTTATCTTCTGAGTTGGTGCTCATGAGTAGCTAGCATTGTAATAATTTTGGTATAAATTTGATTTCCTACCTTTCCCATTGTAATAAATGGGCAGAGGGAACCAAATGGCTTTCTTGCCATAATTTTTTAAGAATGTAACTTCTTTTGTAACTTTAAATAGCCTTGTTCTTTCATGCCCTCTTCTGTAATTGCTTAAACAAAATGAGGTAAAGTTGTACTATTAGTTTTTTTAATTAAGTGAAATATTATTAATTTGAGGTATCTCAATAGGTCATTGAGAAATGAATATTTTCAAATATTCATAAAATCTCATGTCTGTAAATTGACTATTTTTGCTTAAACAGCAATCTTATAAATAGTATCTTTATGAGATTTGGTTTTCACTGAATCATTCAAAGACAGACTATGATATTCAAAGGTATGGATCCACATAAAATTAATGTCATGCTTACATATATATAACTAGAGGCCTAGTGCATGAATTCCTGCACAGATGGGGTCCCTCGGCCTGGCCGGCGATCGGGGCTGATCAGGGCCGTCTCACACAGTCCCTGTTGGAGCAATCGAGGCCTGCCAGCCGGCCGGAGGGAGGGACCACAGGAGGTGGGCTAGCTGGAGGAAGGGACCAAGGAAGGTTGGCCCGCCATGGGAGGTTGGCTGTGGGAGCACACTGACCACCAGGGGGCAGCTCCTGCATTGAGCGTCTTCCCCCTGGTGGTCAGTACGTGTCATGGCGACTGGTCAACCAGTCATTCAGTCGTTCGGTCGTAATGGTTGCTTAGGCTTTTATATATATATATATATAGATAAAGTATTCCCTACACATTTTAAACCTGTTGCTTCATGTACCCCAAATGCATACTTTATAATTATTTATCTATGACTGTGTTGTCTTTAAGCATCTTATCATATGATCATCCATATTTAGTACTTTGCTTGCAATAATGTAAAACATTTGAAGTCTGAATATTTACTTTTTAGAAAAGCCCGTACACTTGGAAGAAAATGGTTATTTTGTATATAATGCTTGTTTCATACAGCTTTTATGTATAATTCTTTATTAATTAGATTAGAACTATTAATACTTATAAACATTCCTAACAGTTGTTTAAAGGATAGTCATCTTTTTTTTTTTAAATATATTTCTTTATTGATTTCAGAGAGGAAGGGAGAGGGAGAGAGAGATAGAAACATCAATGATGAGAGAGAATCCTTGATCAGCTGCCTCCTGCACACCCCCTACTGGGGATCGAGCCTGCAACCCAGGCATGTGCCCTTGGCTGGAATCGAACCTGGGACCCTTCAGTCCGCAGGCTGACGCTCTATCCACTGAGCCAAATAGATACAGAGGCAGAGCAACATCAAACAGACTGTCAAACTACAGCAGGAACTCCGGGGAGGGTTGTGGGGAGGGGGGTAAGAGATCAACTGAAGGACTTGTATGCATGCATATAAGCATAACCAATGGAGACAAGAGACTGGGGGGTAAGGGGAGGACAGGGGAAGGTCAAGGGGAGAAAAAAAAAAAGACATATGTAATACTCTTTGTAATACGTTAAGCAATAAAACAAAATAAAAAATAATATTGGGAAAAAAAGATAGTCATCTTTTTTTTCTATGAAAATGTCATTTGATTTGTTACTTCTATACTTCCATATGTGTAAAAGAATGGTAATTTTGAGGGAAATCACATCAGTTTTCTGGTATGTTTCTGATATGTTCTGATGTGTTTTTCATTTGGCATAAATTACACTTTATTCATTAAATTTCATTTCACCCATATAATAATTACTTTGAACTTAACCAGAAAACCAAACTTTTTCAATCCAAACTTAATTAGATGTATTTCTGTTTTTTGCTTGTTTTTTATTTGTTTGTGGTGTTTTTGTCTATTTGCTTTTGTGTGTGTGTGTGTGTGGGTGTGGTGTGTGTGTGTGTGTGTGTGTGTGTGTGTTGTTTGGATTTAAAAGTTTTGTAATTGTTGTGTGAGTGGTCTAGAATAACAGTTGGAAAGCAGTAATTGGGGCTGAAAATAACTGGGGCTTTTACATTACCATTCTGGTTCCAGTTTTCTAAAAGTATGTGATTGATTTCTTTGTGTGGTAGACTTTTTTTCATGTTCAAACACAATTCATTGTGGGAAAGAATTTTTTTCTTTCTGGGTGATAAAGTCATTGAAATCTTCATGGAATCCTTGAGAACAGAAAAGCTAATGACTTCTAAGCAATTCAGGGAGAATAGTTTATTATACTGAAGAATACTTGTGGGTTTTTTGATGAGGCTGGTGAACTTGTTTGCAAACCTTAAGAAATTATCTGTTTTAGCAGAAATAATTTATTTCCCAAAAGAAAATCTATTTTAACCGCTTATACCTATTTTCATTTGTTGCTGGAAACTGGGTACATTGTTTAACATATGCAAAGCTCATATAAAACTATAATTGAAGAAATAGCAAATCTGTCATACGCTTCTAACATTTGTGAACATTAATATTTAATGTGTTCAATTTTCCTGTTAAGCTAACACATTACAATTCTTTCTTTAAGGCAAATCCTCCTCCAGTACTGGTCAACACAGATAGTTTGGAAACGTCGACTTATGTAAGTTCCAACTCATCCCCACATCAAATAATTCTGCTTCCCTGTTCCGTTTTCTTTAGAGATGAAGATGACAGCATTACTTTCTCTTACATAGTTTACTTATAATATTCTATCACTGACCTACAGTTGTGAAAGTAAATGAAGCCATACTGTCCTTTTTTGGTTGTTTCTTTTCCTCATACTTATGCAAAGCAGAAATGTTGAAATTTATGGTTTTATTTTTAAATTAAAATGATTAACTTTCACCAAAGGCTATTTCTGATCAGTGGTCACTAACACAATGCCATTCAGAGTCATTTTAGAAGTTTAATTGAATAACTAAATATTTAGTAACCAGGTTTATGTGTGTATTCATATATTAAAATAGTTATAACTATATAACTTTAAATTGATTGCTACTTTTCTCTAAATTTACTTAGTTAAAAAGCCCTGTTTCCCTTAAAGATAATTAGCCAGAACATCAGAATCTGATCTAACATTTTTCACCCCAAAGGAAAATGTCTTTGGAGATGTTTAAGTAGAAGTAGTACCTGTGCGTTTTTAAAATCAAATGACACATAATTTCATAAGCTGTAAAAATCCTTTCCTCTTATTTTTGAACTGTAGTTTATTTCAGGCTATACTTTAAAACATTCTATTTGGCTTTATTTTTTTCTATTCATATGAATATGGATGTATCAGATATCGGGATTTGGGAAAAACCTCAAATAATATTGAAAATAAACAGACATGCTCTTCTATACTTTTTTTAGTCAATATTATCTTTCACATTGATGTAGAGTACTTAAGCAGAATTTTGTTTGTACATTTGTCAATATTTTCTTCACATTTCTTTCTTCTTCACTTGTTCTCTTTGTTGACTTATGTTTTGCTTATGGGCTAAGTCAGTGATTAAATATTTTTTATTTTTAAAACCCTTTCAACTGAAAGATTAATATAAAATAATTAACAGAGAAAACAATATCAACAAAGAAAATACATATGCATTTTAGGGGAAATGTCAACAAATTAAAAGCAAATAAGCATACTAAGCAGCCAAAAGTTGTATGATTTCCAGTTTGTATGACATAGCATTTAAAAAAATATTTTTCTTGCTAAGCAAGGTATGTTGAGGGTCTCCAAGAACACTCACTACTCATTTTGGGAGATTCACTGATTCACAAGACTCAGCATAAGATTTAGTACAGCTATGTAGTAAGTTGGGCTCTGCATGTCAAGTTATAAGACAGTATGTCTAGAACAGTGGTTCTCAACCTTCTGGCCCTTTAAATACAGTTCCTCATGTTGTGACCCAACCATAAAATTATTTTTGTTGCTACTTCATAACTGTAATGTTGCTACTGTTATGAATCGTAATGTAAATATCTGATATGCAAGATGGTCTTAGGTGACCCCTGTGAAAGGGTCGTTCGACCGCCAAAGGGGTCGAGACCCACAGGTTGAGAACCGCTGGTCTAGAGGATCCCATGTTTAGATTTCCTTATACTTTCTTCCTCCATGAGGTGTCACACAGAGCACTCTTTTCCCTAGCAATAAAAGTACAGCACTATGTGTGAAGTGTTTCCGCCCTGGGAAACTCATTGTGGACTCAGTGCAAAGTTTTTTATTGCAGGTTGGTCACCTAGGCACCCTCTGTCCAGCACATATCAAATTTCCAGGCTCCCAGAACGGGAAAGCAGGTATTCAGCATAAAATGTATTGTCTCTATAAACTCTAGCCATAGTAAATTATTACCCTTTCAGTTATGGAATGGTGTGAACACACCCAAAATTAATTTCCCAAATACCTGCTAAGACCCCTCTAGAGATAGCAGCCGTAGGTCTGGTATGTTAACCCTTTTCTGGACATAAATAAGATAAATTCTAATTCCTCAAGCAAGATTTGCCAGAGTGTGCTACTTTATCATTCTTAAAGAACACAGTGTTCTCTATAGCTCTTGCTTCTGTAGGCAAAAAACATGTGTTTTGTTTGGGTAAAACAACCTTAAGCTTTTAAGAAACAGGTATTTAATCCTGAAATTTAAAATGTATTACAAAATGGTTTTAAACTTACTTGTTATTCCTTTGTTAATTCCTTGATCACTTAATACTAGCTATATATTGATGAATAAAAGTAAGAAAAATTATGGCTGCTACCTTAGAACCATAACTTTTCTTGTCTATAGTCACTACACTTCCCTAAATTAAGTAATTAATTGAACAGGCAGTGCATGTACATTGTGCAAAATTTAAAAGATACCAAAAGATATCTGGTGAAAAGTAATTCTTTCTTCCACCCATGCTTCCAATCTTCCAGTTCACCTGGACTAAGGCAGAAGTGTTAGTAGTATCATTTATATCCTTCTATAAACATTCTCTGCAAATGCATACATATATGTGTTATTTCTATACTTTTACCATGTAAAACCAATGCCCTTCTGATAATTTTTGTATAGATATTTTGTATATATATGTGAGTATAAAATCAGAACATACTCATATGCATAGATTGCTCAAAGAGTATGTCAATTTTTAGATTTGATCATTATTGAGAAATTGCACTTCATAGAGTTCTCTCCATTTATACTTCAACAAAAAGTACCCGTTTTTGCTTCATATTGTCACAAGCACAATGTGTTAATAAACTTTTATAGCTTTTGTTAACATGTTTAGAATGTATTAACTCATTGGTTTAATTTGCATTTCTATCTAAAGATCACCTTTTTCTACCTTTTCACCTTAAAAAAATATATGTTGAGATATTCACATACCACAAAATCTACCTTTTTAAAGTGTATAACTCAGTGGTTTTTAGGTTATTCCAATATTGTACCATCACCACCACTTTCTAATTCCAGAACATTTTACCACCCTATAAAGAAACCCTGTACTCATTAGCAATGACTCCCCACTCTGCTCTTCCCTCAGCCCCTGATAACCACTAATCTACTTTCTGTCCCTATGGACTTGTCTATTCTGGGCCATTCATATCAATAGAATCATATAGTATGTGGCCTTTGTGCCTGGCTTCTTTGACTCAAATAGTGTTTTCAGGGTTCATCCATCTTACAGTATATCAGAACTTTGTTTCTTTTCGTGGCTAAATAATATTCCATTATATGTATATACCACATTTGGTTTATTCTTTCTTGTTTTGAATTTTTTTAAAAATATATTTTATTTTTTACAGAGAGGGAGGGAGAGGGAGGGAGAGGGATAGAGAGTTAAAAACATCGATGAGAGAGAAACATCGATCAGCTGCCTCCTGCACACCCCCTACTGGGGATGTGTCCGCAACTAAGGTACATGCCCTTGACCAGAATCGAACCTGGGACCTTTCAGTCCGCAGGCTGATGCTCTATTCACTGAGCCAAACCGGTTATGGCTCTTGTGTTGAATTTGAGACCCTGCTTTCATTTCCCAGTGGTGGAATTGCTGCATCATATGATAATTATATATTTAGGGTTTTGAGGAACCACCTGTCTTCCATACCAGTTTCACCATTTACATTCCCACCAGCATTATATGAGGGTTTCAGTTTCTCCACATATCACCAATCTTATTATTCTTCATCAACAATGTTTTGGACTTTATTATAGCCTTCCTAGTGGGTATGAAATGATACCTCATTGTAGCTTTGATTTTCATATACTTAATGACCAATGTTGAGCATCTTTTCATGTGCTTATTGGATATTTTTATATCTTCTTTGGAGAAATGTCTATTCAGATTCTTTACCCATTTTTAATTGGATTATAGTCTTTTATTAGTAAATTGTAAGAGCTCTGTATACTAAATGTAAGTCCTTTATCAGATATATAATTGCACAGATTTTCTCCTGTGGATTGTCTTTTCACATTTCATAAATCCTTTGAAGCACAAACTTCATATCTGTATATTCACTTATTCATATACCAGTATGTGCGTGTGTGTGTATGTGTGTGTGTGTGTGTGTGTGTGTGTGTATACACACACACACACACACACACACATACACACACACACACTAGAGGCTGGCGCAAAAAAATTTGTGCCTCAGCCCGGCCTGTGCCCTTTCGCAGTCTGGGACCCCTCGGGGGATGTCCACCTGCTGACTTAGGCCCGATCCCATGAGGGATCGGGCCTAAGCTGGCAGTCAGACATACCTCTGGCAGCCCGGGAACCTTGGGGGATGTCCACTTGCCAGCGGGAGTAGGCCTAAGCTGCAGTCAGACATCCTTAGCACTGCTGAGGAGGCGGGAGAGGCTCCCGCCACCACTGCTGTGCTGGCAACCATCAGCCTGGCTTGTGGCTGAGCAGAGCTCCCCCTGTGGGAGCGCACTGACCACCAGGGGCCATCTCCTGCATTGAGCGTCTGCCCCCTGGTGGTCAGTGTGTGTCATAGTGATCAGTCATTCCCAGTCATTCTGCTGTTAGGGTCAATTTGCATATTACCCTTTCATTATATAGGACTAGAGGCCCGGTGCACAAAAATTTGTGCACTCAGGAGGGTCCCTCAGCCTGGCCTGTGCCCTCTCGCAGTCTG